GGAAACATCCGCTCCACCAACTCTACTTTGACTACACCTCTCGCTCCACTTCTACGTTATATGTTTTCTGCGAAATCAGCGTATAGCAACAGCGCTTCTGTCGGCCTTCTTTGGTTCCGGCAGGACTGCGATATGCGACAGCGCATTCTTCAATTCTGCCACCATTGTCGATCCAAAGTCACGCGCAGGCAAGGACCTCTCTCAAAATAATTCGTACTGGACGAGGGTCGACAGAGTGGTCGGCGAACAGAAACTCGCATACCGCATCCTGCATCAGCCAAAGAGCATGGTATTGGTTGATGTGCAGACACCCTGGACCCTCCACCGCCAAGCTCTGTCACCAGCTTGATGCGATCGCGCGCGCATATGGGAGAGAGTATCGCTTACCTTGATGCCGTCCAGCAGGACTGGGGTTGGCGACGATGGGGGCCAGAACAAGCGGAACGTGTTGGTCTGCTAAAAGAGAGTTGGCGCCAATCAAGTCCTTCGCCGTCGGGTCCTCGAGGAACGTTTCGTGTTGTTGAAGGGTGAACTAACTTTGTTATCTCGTGGTCCCACAAGCCCCTTCGTGGCGCAGAATTGCTTTTGCTTCATGCCAGGTGGTCTGATCACAGGCCCTGCTCTGCCTTAGTCTCAACTCCCCTCTCAACCCCACCGCGACGGTGAAATCTGGTCCGCCTAGGGAGCCATGTGCAGCATGAAGCAGCGCCACTCCAGCCAGCCTGCAGATACAAGGCGGCGCCTGGCGAGACTTTCTGGTACCGTAACCGTGCTCGCGATATAACAGACATACCTTAGTAGTCACGGTTGCCGACACGTGTCTTGGACTCTATCGCGCGAAGCAACGACAGGCTGCGCTACGATAACGGACTGCGTTGTAGGCGCCTTGGAGGATGACGAGAGAGTTTGTCTGCTCCCCCGTACGATTGGGCTTTCCTTGGATACTTGAGTAATACTTCTCTGTCCCCCTGTCAAGATAATGCTCAAGGAGGAATACAAACCCAATGCCTGCCCCGTTACTCATAGGTTTACGGGTTGGGCATCCGGTCATGCGCATTTTGCAACAGGGCTGCGAGGACCATGAGGCTCTGCTCGTGGTAGGCAATCCATCAACCGAAGCCACGGTCTGGACACCCGCATGTGCGACGAAAAAGCATGCGCGGGCACCGGCAGAAGAACTGCTCGTACGTTCACTTCGCATCCATGCTCGCTTTCGGGCCGCCGTCTGTCTCACGTCCCAACACAGCATGGTATAGCACATGGTGCGCGGGAAGGATGATCAACCATCTGGCCGGTGTTTTCATCCCCCCAATTGGGTTTGTGGCTTGCTTGCGGGGTCGCTAGTGCATAGGCGAGGCCGACGCCAACGAATTACCTCTCCGCCATGTCATGGTCAACCCAGTCAACGGTGGTCGACAGTCAGTATGGCGGAGGGGCCCTGTTACGGGCCATGCCGCTCAGCGCTCACATTGTTCTCCTCGGAACTGTGCACCTAGAATGCGAGGTGTGCAATCATGACGAGCCTAAATTTGGCTCACAAGCTCACGCAGCTTCGTGTGTGATGGCGCACGCCGCTATCAATCAAGCATGATTACAGCCCATTGAGAATTGAGAGCCTGTCATTCGTCCTCCCATCATTCGTATAGCATGGAGCCCTGAGATTCCGATATCTCAACTAGGGTTCCGGACTATTGGTACTCGCATAGCAAGCAATCCTGTGCTGATCACCCGTCAAAGTGGCTTTGGGCGTCCCCAGTGTCTGTCCATGTTTTGCTGCTGCTGCACTTCTGCGTAGCCTTCCAGAAGAGGATGCATCGACTAGTGAATCTAGCACCGCGCTCTATTGCAAGCGAAATCGCATCAACATTGGTCTAGTCGTCAATCAACGCAAGCGAAGAAAGTAATGCGACGTGGAAGACGGCCTAGATCGTGTCGCACGACTAGTAATGCTGGAAGAAAACTTTGTACCTTCGCTGGCTCTACTCCTCGCCCCAAGAGGCATTTGGCACCATTTTGGAGGCCCCTTTCAAGGTGTTGTATTACGCAGGGGTGGCGAAATGTTTTGAAGAGCATGGCAGTGGTGGAAAGCCCCTCCGCGCTTATCCTCAGGGTCATACTATTCACCAATACTCCGGAAGTCGCCAGAGTCCCTGCAAACCTGCTTGACGGCCAATAAGGTTACCGGTGCGGACACCATGAGAGGAAAATGAAACATGTCCTGCACACAGGCGAAGACGATCGTGATCTGCTCAACTATCATTCGGAGAAATGTGCAACACAAAACGAATTGGTCGTGGTCGACCAGCATCTTCGCGAAACAGGCCCTTTACGCTATAGTTCATCTGGTCGGTCCTTTCCTGCGCTGTGTCCCGCATGCCCATATCCAGGACAGGCAGGGTCAATGCTGGTCGCAGGGCGTTCTAGGCCGTCGCAACAAGGTGTGGCGGTGCGACCTTCTCCTCTTCCTGAGCGGCCCAAGCACGTCTCTCAGAAGCTGCGGCATGGTTCCTTGATTACTCCGGGGTATCGAGCTCATACACTTAGCGCTAGCGATATCGCGAACCTACAGAACTGTGGCGGTGCGCAATCATAACGCTGAGACATGATGTCTGGCTCCTGCAGTAGCTTGATTACGCCCTCGGATTGAGCTTGGGTTGTTTGCATGACCAAATTAATTGCGTACACGAAACTCAATCATGCCACAACGCTCAGGTTCTATCCAGTCGTAGGTCTAACGCAGCCTTTGGCCTCGCATGTAACCGTTGGTTATATCGGCGTGAGTCAGCCATAGGCTACACAGGAGAGTTGCGTCCTGTCAGATGCCACGGCTTCACTACCGCGTCGAATGCGTGGTTCTCCAGAACTGTAGACTACATTGACAGGAAGCAGCCTTTACAACTAAAATAGGCTCGATCGGATCCAAGTAGTGCGACTTCCATGGCTGGCTCACCCCGCATATGCTATAGCTAGCTCTCCTGCGCCGTTGTGAGCGGCCTTTGATATACATCAGACGAAGAGATTAGTGCTGCGCCCATGGCGACATAATATACTGAAGCCTGGGGTATTGCTGATGGCGTAAGACTGGATCCAAGCCATTGTCGGGCAGCTGTGTTACATTCCATGGTTGAGATGCATCAGGGTGTAGCAACGCACTCGACAATCATGCGCCAGTTGCACTGCAGCCAGTATCCTTGGCCAAGAGCAGGCGGCATGGCTGATAGAATGGTTGGTCCCAGGAAGGGTGTGGTTGACGCCTTCCAAAACCTTATCCACGATGTCGGGCCATGAGGGTTCAGGCACCACGCGGAACAAGATGTCACGCTGATTACCAGATGGTACGTTAGCATGGTACGGAACATGAGGTCCGTGTATGACAGCTAGCAGTCGGGAGCCTCTGCTCTGGTCAAGGACACACGGCGTGTGCACATAGCGTACCGTGGCAGCGTAAGGCCCCCAGAGCGAAATTGCTCTGACTTGGCTCCCCAGAACGGGCGCAAGTCTAGCAAACGGCTGTAGGGCAGGTGTTCGGTCGCGACCATAGGATGGCCAGTACAGGCGCCGTCACATGCGATAGCCGGCCAGCTGCAATGTGCCCACCACACCAAAGGTCGACGACGATTATTCAGAGGACCATGTCACGCCATGCCATGGTAGCCTTGCATTGCGGTCGAGCTTTGATATGACGCACCGCCATTTGGAGCGGTGGTTAGTCAGGAAAACTGTGCATCATCGAGTCCCGCAGTGACGATGTCACAACGTGACGATGAGAAACTCGGTGAGGTCAGCACGAAGAGACGGCCTGTTGGAGAGGCAGTGCAGCGCAGACTGAGCCCCACGAAGACTCGCTTAGCGACCCCGTTGCGGGCAATGGTCTAAGATTAGCAGTGTGCCCATATCCAATGAGACGTCATGAGCCTGCACAGCCGCGTGCTAGCGTCACCAGCCACAGCTCGTGCATGACGGTCCGAGCTGCGGGCAAAGCGAGAGGATCGCGTATCAGATGCGCTAAGGGCCGCCTGGCTTGCGGAATGGCAGGACAGGACCTGTCCCCAGTCCGCCCATGGCTCCCCGACCGAAGCGGTGATCGAGCGTGCGTTTTCTTCAGGGTCTATCCCTAATCCGCTTGTCTTTGCCAGATGCAGCATGACGGCTCCCACGCTCTGCACGCCTACTCGCTGACGTGCTTCGACCCCTCGTCACTTTCGGCATGGCTTGCTCTGTTGGTGCGTCGACTTGCGCAAACAGGGGTCGGGCACACCGCGACTCCCAAGGGGTTAGTGCTACCACTGAGCAGTCGGGGCGCGCGATCGAGGCGGGGACGTGAATTGACGGCGGCCGGTAACTTCTGCCTTCTTTTATTTTTCCTAGCGTGGCCTGACCGTTTCCTAATCTGCCACCCTATGCCAGAGGCCCAAGCTCGTAGGGCAGTAAAGCCTCCAGGACAGGGGTTTGGCCTGCCGTCGTATGGCTTCGTGCACTGTTTCCCGCTGGGGGCCACGGCCGTCTTGACTCTGGCCTTATGTATAAACCAACTTCGCCCCCCGAGGCATCGTCCTCCATCCAGGCCTATGATCAACGCAAACACTACTTCATCCAGACCTCTTCCGACGCCTTGGTTCTCTCTTCAGCACCATAGTCCTTCCCGCTTCTGACTTGTCCCTCGCTTCAGCCAGCCGCCGCCAGGACTACTCTACATAGAGGGACGACGCCTTGTCACTCTCGTGCCTAGATGCAGTAAAAGATCTACAAAGTTTCCACGCCTTTTGAGTTATCGCCGACTCATACGACGACCTTAGGATTGGATCGGCACCTCCTCCGGGAAGGTAAGCTTTCCCCTGCCGGTCCCTTATAATCTGCGCTAGCCCTACCAACCAAACACCAACGATCCCATCGCACATGCCCAGTGCTTATGCTGACTCCATTTACCGATATAGGCATCTGCTGCAACTCGACACTCGACTTTTCCAGTTTGCTTTGTTTCATCTCCCACATTGTTCATCATGGTTGACTACGCACAATATCCACCGAGCATGCCTCACGACTTTGAGCTCTACTCCAGCAACCAAGAACAGCATCTGGATTTTCACCACAACTTGCCTTACGTGCCTGCCTCAACATATGCCATGGAGCACACCTTCAGCGCCTCATATGACCACATGGCTACCCTCGCAGAGATGCAAAGGCCTCAAGACCTGCAATACCATTACAATGCCATCGCACAAGGTGTCAAGCCTTACCAGTATCAGACCCCTGCCGGCTCTCCCCACTCAACTTCACATTCTTTCCACGAGCAGCCTCCCATTCTTTCTGCGTCTTCTGAATCCGGTGCTTCAGTGTCGTCTTCCGCCATGGGCTCCCCATCACTTGTTCCACATTTCAATGACTCGTGGAGCACAATGGGACTAGGGGTGACTACTGGATACGAGTACCCAGGAATGGTAGCGACAGATAAATCATATGTGGGTAAGTCAACAGTTCCTTTACCAACGGTCTCTTCTTCTTCTTCTTCTCCTTTCATTGCATCGCCTACCTCGCCAATCTACAAGAGGCATGTATTCAAGACGCCCACGACCCCAGCTTCAGCCACTTGGTCCTCGAAACCAAATGAGCGGAAAAATTCTCTATTGCCGCATGGTTTCATGCATGATATGGCATCAACTAGTTCTCCTTTTGTCATTTCAGTTTCACAATCTTCTCAACTCTCTCAAACTTGTCGGTTGCCTCCCAATGCTATAAATGATGGAGACTAATGCAGTATAAGCAGATCCTAATCTCATTCAGCCATTCGCATTCGCGCCTCAGAGCCCATACCCTGAGATTAGGACTACCCCATCTCCTTACTTCCCCATCATCGAGCAACCACCCTCACCAGCTCTCTCTCAACTCTCTTGCCACAGCCAGCGCCCCGGTTCGGCACGCATCAAGAAGGGTAGCGCCAGCCCCTATCTTCGTACTCAGCAATACCAGCCTTACCCCCAGTACAATGGTCAACGGCGAGGCTCTGTCAACTCTCTTCACTCGCACCACTCAGGCAAGAGTGGAAGCAGCTTCGACAACGATGAGACCCGCGAGAAGGGAATGTGCCCACTACCAGAGTGTGGGCGCGTCTTCAAAGACCTGAAGGCACACATGCTCACCCACCAGAACGAACGACCGGAAAAGTGCCCGATCGCAACCTGCGAGTACAACACCAAGGGTTTCGCGAGGAAATATGACAAGAACCGTCACACGCTCACGCACTACAAGGGCACAATGGTCTGCGGTTTCTGTCCAGGCAGTGGTTCAGCGGCTGAGAAGTCGTTCAACCGCGCTGATGTCTTCAAGAGGCACCTTACCTCTGTCCACGGCGTGGAGCAGAATCCTCCTAACAGCCGCAAGAAGAGCCCATCAAGCCGCAAGGCTTTCGGTGGCTCGCAACCCAACGTTGCTGGTACCTGTTCTACTTGCTCGGTTACTTTTGCCAACGCGCAAGAGTTCTACGAACATTTGGACGATTGTGTGCTGCGTGTTGTACAGCAAACCGACCCAAGTGAAGCCATCAACCAACGCCTTCTTACCTCTGTTGCAGAGGATCCGGACGTCACTGAGACTCTCGATCGCAACGGTCTATCTAAGAGCATTGAGTACACAGTACCCAACTATGCCGAGGATGAGGAAGATGACTATGAGGAAGAGGAAGTCGATAACGATGACCACGACGATGCCACATATGGCTCCCGCCGCGGCCGCTCAGGCAAGGGAGGCATCAAATCCTCGAAGAAGGATTGACAACTAACACATTCCCGGGGTGTCGGCGCAACGCAGCACGCCGGGGATGGTAACCACCTAATAAACCACCTCTCCTCTTCTCGCATCCAAAAATCCGGTCCACGCGCTGGCCTCACTTTCTCCAAAGGCGGCGTAGCCATCACCGGTTCCGGACGCAAGAAGCGCAAGAACTACCCGGTATCTTGGGGCTGCCCTACCGATAAGATGAAGATGAAGAAGCGCGTCTTGTGTGTATATGATGGCCAGAGAAGGCTATGGAAAGATGACATGATGCTCGACCAGGAGTTTGAAGTACGCACAAAGTTGCCTGATGGCAAGTCGTACGTCACAGACTTGGACGTCCAGACCCTCAACCGCGCAGATGCCCTGCATGGCGCCACAAGGGAAGAGAGAGGCCCCTGGATGCCCGACAACATTGTTGGAGGCGTCAACGGTGTGGATATGGAGCCCGCATCGCTGGACTGGGCTCTCTGAGCATGATTAGAGATACGATATTTTGTTTTTGTCATGAGCGTTTTGAGCGATACGGATGGGATGCATGAAAAAGGTTGCACAGCAACCCGCACACAGACATGGCTCCATGAACGAACGAACGAACGAACATGACCAACGAACTTCTTTGCTGTACTACCAAGCTTGCAGTTTTGCTTTTCATTTACCCGATCGATACCACTGGGACTTTGCTTTCGGCTGTCGGCGTTTATTGTCAAAGGAGATGTAATGGACGTGCTGGCCGCGAAGATATAGTTTCTGAATCTATTGACTATCATCATGATTATATTCTTCCGCTTAACCCTGTGATTCTTCCAGAGAAGATTTGATGTGATGGTCACACTGACAATAGCTTGGTCGTACTCTTTTCAATCGCGGAGGCATCCTCTAGAGCTGCGAGGACGTCTGATGCCATTCGCTTGTATAGAGCTGACATCGACCACGCCTCGGACCTGCGTCGTAGATCTCCCAAAACTCCGGTCTCTGGAAACTCCGGCTGTCGTAGCCGTCTAGAGTAAGCTGCCACATTTTTCCGATGAGCTGTTTACCCACGGGCGGTACCCGTTTCCCAGGTCTGGATTCTGGCTCAGCCACAGCTGACAATGTATGTGGGCAAAGTTTGGAACAGACAGGCCATGCCCTCGATACCGGAATATCGGGTTGACCCATGCGTGAGGGTGTGCTGTTACGATGTGTTGCTTTTTGCAGCCATATTTAGTTATCATGGTGGCGTGTCGGGGGTCTTTTGGTATGTGCTTGCAGTCGGCGCATTGACAATGCATGAGGGTATTGAACGAGATTTGTTTTGGTACCCAGATAGGTCTCGCGAGCAAGCTGGATCTAAAGACTTCTGGACCCAGGTAGTTTGAGCGTAACAAAATACCAAATGTATTCAGGGTCGTGTTTCAACAACACATACCTTCAGGGTCTCTTTTGTTTTTGATCAAGTCTAGATGCAGTGCCGATTTCAGAAGCAACACAGTTCATGCATTGACAAGTTGAAAACCATGTAAGTTGGAATTGGTAGAGAAATGTTGAATGGATGCAATGGAGGCTACAGGCACCAGTCGTGACTCCGTGTTGTGAATGGGTGAAAGTTGAGACCTATGTGCTGCGGCTTAGTCAGCCTCCCCGCTGTGGGGGAACCTGGGAAGGCAGCAGCGACCTAGACAGCCGTGACAGCTTGGAGCTCTATCGACTCTCAGCATTACGCCGCAACCACACCCTCACCCGTCCGCACACACTACGACACCGCGTCATGGCGTCAAATATCGAACAGTCGCCATTCTTCCAGGAGCAGAAGTCGAAAGGCGAAATCGTTGTCAAGGGTATGACATAGTCGATGTAACATTGGCGCGTGTCGCTAACTCCGATAGACCCTCCCAAGTTTGACCTGGAATCATACATTGCCAATTACACCGGTAAGGCTCTTAACATGCTGCTTCGGCTCTCTAGACACTGACAAGTCTTATAGGCTACACACGAATCGATCGCCTGCACCACATCGGCGCCCACTCGCCATACCTCGCCGCAGACGCTTACCGCCTCGCTATCGCCGAGGCAAAGAGGGGAAAGAATGTTGATTTGTACACAACACTGGTAGAACAGTTCAGCCGCATAGCACCACAGGATCCTGCGTCTGTGACAGATACAGCATGGGTTGAGAAGAAGACGCGGGAAGTGCGCGAGGAGCACGACCGACTAGAGCATGAACTCAAGTCATACAAGAACAACTTGATCAAGGAGAGCATACGAGTAAGTGCCGGTGCGGAGTAAACCTTTGCATCTTCGCTAACTGCCTGTAGATGGGCAATGAGGACCTCGGTCACTTCTATTACGATACCGGTGACTTTAGTAACGCACTGAAGGCCTATATGAAGATGCGGGAGCATTGCACCTCGCCCAAGCATCTTGCAGACATGACCCTCCGCCTCGTATATGTTAGCATCGCACAAAAGTCATGGACAAATGTATTGGCAAATCTGGCCAAGTCGGAAGCCACTCAGATTAAGGGCGATGACAAGGCCAAGATGGAGCCCATCATTTCTGCTTGCAGCGGTCTATGTCACATGGCTACTGGCAACTACCGCGAAGCTGCGACAGCGTTCCTTGGTACATCAGCGGCATACTTGACTGCAGAGCCAGCAGCGTACATTACATGGCAGAAGGAAGTCATTTCGGGTAACGACATTGCGGTATACGGTGGTCTTTGTGCGCTTGCCTACATGGACCGCAGCGATTTGCAAAACAAGGTACTAGCAAACAGCGAATTCCGTAACTTCCTTGAGCTCGAACCTCACATTCGCCGCGCTATAAACCTCTTCTGCAACTCCAAATACAGCGCATGTCTCGAAGTGCTCGAAGGCTACCGCAACGACTATCTCCTCGACGTATATCTGTCCAAGATGCTGAACACCATCTACAGTCGGATCCGGACAAAGAGCATCGTGCAGTACTTCATACCCTTCAGCTGCGTCACGCTTGACGAAATGACGTCCAAGTTCCCGCCAGCGGAAGGCCGGACCATCGACGAAGATTTGGAAGAGATGATCAACCAGCGTGTTCTCAATGCGCGGATAGATCTCGTCGACCGCCTACTCATCTGTCCACCCACAGCCCCCCGCCACGACGTACACGCCGACGCTCTCAAGATGGCCGAGGAGTACGACCACACCCTGCGCCTTCGATTGACGCGTCTCAACTTGCAGGCAGCGAGCATGGAGATTTCATCAAACAAGTCGAATGAAAAGTCATCTGGTATGGGTGTAAGCATCGGTGACACTTTCCGCGGTTTAGGTCAGAAGATAGGATTTTAGGAGACACCTAAGATGACCAGGGGAAACAACGACGACGTCAAACACGATGAGATGATGGACGTGGATTAGCGCAGGATGGAGAGTTTGCGCGGCTGGCATTGCAAGGCGTTTTTGGAGCGGCATGGCGTACATATACAGGCTGGGCAAGGACATCAAGCGGCATTCTGGCGTTGGAATGATGAGGCATTGCAGTAAACGGAGCTGTCTAGTACCAGATAGCTGAGTCAACACGTCATGCAGAAGCATAATTATACCATGGTCATTCCTTCATTCAAATTCGTAACATGCGTGTATGTAGTGTGCCAATCTTCCCGCAAATGGAAGAAGATATATCCTGGGTATCTAGTATTCGTATCGCTGAAAGCCAAAATATCCTAAATCATGATTTGGCGCCAATGTAACAGCAGCCATTTCCTCGTCAACTCAAGACAGTGATGAGTAGCCTCGTCATAGGACCAGGCTACCCGGTCCTTATCTAAAAACACCTGACCCTCTCGCCGCAACCCATTGGTCTTGTTGTGGTTGTTGTGGCTGTTGTTGTTGTTGTTGCTGCTGTTGCTGCTGCTGCTGCTGTTGTTGTTGTTGTGGTGGTGGTGCCGCACTTTGATATCCATAATACCCAGTGGGTGCCCATGCAAACTCCCCAGGACGTCCATACGAATTATTTACATCGATGGTAGGCGCCGGTGGCTGTTGAGGCTGCGTCTGTGGTAAATGCGCGTTCGTCTGTGCTGACATGCTGTTTTGCGTCACCATTGGCTGCGATGCCATGGGATTGACTGGCAGCGTGTTCTGCGGCATGGGCCGATTGAGCGTGCCATATGGAGAGTGGTTGGAGTGGTTGGCTGCAAAATAGTTTTGATGTGTCTGAAGCTGTGTGGTTTGCATTTGTTGGGCTGTCGCTGCCTGGAACTGCTGTTGTGGAGTCATAGACTGCTGTGAAGGCCCAATCTGCTGCTGCTGCTGCGGTAGTTGTTGTGGCGGGTTCTGTAGGCGCTGTTGGGGTGATTGGCTACCCATCTTGTAGGCTAGCTGTTGTTGTGGGCTTCTCACGCCGTGCGGCAGACCTTGATTGAGTTGTTGCAGTTGTTGACGGTGGTTTGGTATTGAATGTTGACGTTGCGGTTGCTGCTGAGACGCATGGGGTAACGTCTGTGACTGCGACACTTGTGATCGGTGACGAGGCTGTTGCGGGACCTGTACTGGTTGCGGCTGTTGTTGAACATGAGTTTGTTGTGGTGGTTGCGGAGGCGGAGGCGGCGGCTTTTGTTGGACTTGGGATTGCTGCGAGCGAGGTCGTGGCGCCATTTGCGGCGTCTGGATTGGGGTAGTCGAAGCTCGCTCCCGAGCTTCATAATGTTTCAGCTTTGCCTTGGTTTCCTCGAGCTCCTTCATGATCTTTGCAAGCTCGGATTCGCCAGCGGGATGAGCTGCCGGTTCGGGGGCTTGCGTAGGTGGTCGCTGGTCTTCGCCACTCGCTGGCTCAGAGTATACACACAGCCGTCTCTTGTCGTTGCATGTCGAACATATGGGCTTGATGCCATCACACTGTATATATCAGCTGCTGTTGCTTGAACGCCCAATTGTTTGTATCCTACCTTGGTCTTCTTAGCCTTGCAGACATCGCAACTGTTCCTCGGCCGCTTCCGCTGTGGTGCTGATACTGATTGCGTTTCCACATGTAGTGTAGGGCGCGGCCCAGGGTGAGGCTTTTGCGGGGGAGGACGAGGTGGTGGAGGCGGAGGTGGTTGAGGCTCAATGAGCGTGTGCTGCGAATGCGTAGGTGGCTCTACCTGGATCAGCTCTAGCAACATACGCAGACTCTGTTGTCTCAGGTCGCTCTCAATCGTGTTGGATGGCCTTGGAGGCTCCGGCAGAGGGTCGGACCGCTTCTTCTTGATCCTGGGCGTGTCTGGATCCTCACTGCTCAGCTGTCTCGAGCGGCTTGCGAGCCTAGCCAAAGCCTCTGGGTCGTTCTCCTCGAGATACTTGCGCCGCTTGGAGTCTTTGCGTGGGGGCGGGGCGCGTTCCTCGTATGTCTTGTGTATGGGCACATGCTTGTAGAAGACGTCGAGTGTCTGCTTGGTGGCCGAGAACTTGATGGACAAGACACCTTTACAGTCGTAGACGGGCTTGGTGGCACGTTTGCCCAACTTGGCACCCTTGCCGTTGGCAGCGCGGTCCTTGTTGAGGAGCGAGTCGTTGCAGTAGTAGGAGAAGCGGAAGCTGTCGTCCTCCCTGCTGTTCCAACAGTTGTGGAAGCTGTAGCGGTATCCGTCGATCTTCTGTATCGTGTCGACGCAGCACTTGGCGACTGCCCTCTGTTTCCGCATCTTCTCCTTGGGGTCCGCTGTCGGCTGCAAAGATTCTCGTATGCTCAGGGCGGTTTTCTGCTCCGCCGGCTTGGGCGCGCCATTGTTGGGCTCGATGGACTCGGTGAAGTTGTGGCCCAGGGCGAAGTTGGCGTCCGAGAGGGACTGGTACTGCGAAGGACCAGCAAAGTGTGCGGGCTGGTAGCCGGGCGGCGCATGGCTGTATTGGTGTATGGCGTGCGACTGTTGCTGTTGGGGTGGCGGCGGTGGAGGCGGGTGAGTTGCCTGATGAGGCTGCTGCGATGGGTTCGGCTTAGTTGGTGAAGGGACGGCAAAGGACGTGTCGATGTCGAAGGCGAACTGGGCTTCGGTGTGCTCAGGCTCTTCTGGCGGGCTTCTTAGGTATTCGCGTAATGACGTCTCGAATTGGTCGAGGGAGCAGATGGGGCCGTAGGGCACCGTCTTCGCGAGCGCGTCTCTGGGCTGCCGTCCACGCGCGAGTTGCACGGGGGCCTGGGGCCAGAGAGCCTGGTCGTTGGCATCGTGGATACTCGTGGGTTGAGCATGGGCAGCGGCCATGTCAAAGTGGAGCCCGCCCCCGACCAGGTTTGGGGTAGTGAATAAGGAGTTTTTGAGATAGCCGTCTACCGAGACCGTGCAAGCCTTGGCTCCAGCCCTAGACGCGATGATCAACACTTCATGGCCGGTGTGACGGGCTGCTGGAGATGGGCTAAACACGCAAGGACACGGCAGGGAGTGAGCCAAAGTACAGAGGGCAGCAGTGCAGCAGTTTCAATGATTCAACATACTCCAGCCGCCATGAGAAGCACGGGTGTAGGCATCGGAGCGTGCCTAGCCCGATGACGCATACACCCGAACCCGCATCAAATCTCCAGGTTGACATCGCCCTCGCTCCCACCTTGCTCCGCCTTGTCCTATAAGCTACAGACTAAATACACTACTCACATCACGCGCATACAGGTCAAATCCATAACTCTTTCTTGGTTTCTCTGAGCTGCAGACGAAATACTTTCGTCATCCCATGGACATGTTGTTATGACATCGATACTATGAGATCGTTGTCCTCAGATCTGAATTTCATCCGGCCTCCCATGCTTATGTGACATCAATACTATGAGATCGATGCCCCCGAGCCCATACCTATCTCTACCCGTGTTTCTATCCCTGCATACCAAATGACAATATCTGCTATTGTTACCGCGTCCAGCATCCACTCGCTGTCTTCAACCAATATGTATTCAATGGCGTTCCTTCGTTCTGACCACTCTATTGTTCCCTATTTGCAGGTCAGGCAGAGCTCGCTTCATCTCGTATGTCGTGTTGAGCTGATCGGAACCTGTCATATCATCCTCGGGGGATGTAGCCTGGGCCAAACGAAGAGAAAGTATGAGGAGTCTGTGGGTAGCCTTGCTGTTGCTGTCCAGGATATCTGTGCGCCTGCGAGTTGTCGCGCGGCGCCGAATATGCCTGGGGTCCATTGGGAGGACAGGCAGTTGGGTAATGTGTTCCGAACCCCGATCCATAAGCTGGCGAGACGCCGCGTAGCATCATGTAGGGCGTGTTTCGAGGTGAGCGTGTAGATTGTGGGCCGGTGAATGATGCACCTCGACCCTGCTGGAAATTTGACCCGGTATAGCGAGGACCAGTAGGAATAGGTTTTTCGTGGCCTGGTAGTGAGCCTCCGGGTGTGAAGGGTGGCGCGTCGGGGTTGATCTGCTTTCCAGGGACAATGGACGCACTGGAGCTCGGGTTGACCCGCTGAGAGTTCTGTGTCGTGGTCGCGTCAGCTTCAGACTTTGCAAGCGTAAAATGCTCATCCGAGCAGTCATCCTCCATTGACCTCGTCTTGCAATTTGGAGCATGTTCGTCGAAGAAAGCAGTGTTGTACTTGAAGATCTTTTTGCAATGACCACAACGTACAGCAAGCTCCCAAAAAGCCTTGCAAGTCTTCAAGTGATCGTACATGTCTTTCTTCGTGTACCACTGAAGACAGAGATTGCACTTGGTGTGCTCGACCACTTTCCCGCTCTCCAACGTCCGATCTTCGTGGTTCTCTGCCGGACGTACTATCCCAATGCTGCTGAACCTAGCATCGAAACATGGAAGCTCCAGCTCATACACTGCGTCATCAAAGTCGGGTTTCTTTGAGTTGATCTCTCTCCAGTGACTGTGCCAAAACTCACGCTTCTTTCGACGGGGGATGTTCAGTTCGCCAGACAGTGAAACTGAAGATGTCATCGACATTTGTGACAGCTCTTCATCGCCCTCAACAGTGATAGCTTGTGAAGAAGATTCTGGCGTACTAGTTGGATAAGCCTCCTGCTGTAAGCTATCTTGCTGACTGCCTTCGGTCGAGCCAGTGGTGCCATGGTTGGGGTCATCATCGTCGTCAACCTCACCACAAGTCTTAGAGACGCTTTGCTTGCACAAGTCCATGACTTTCTTCTCATTCTCGAGCTGGGAGATCCTTTCTTTAGCAGTCTCGAGAGCGATGTTTGCTTCACGCGCCTCTTGGCGCAGAACCTTAGCGGTGGCCATCTGCTTCTCTAGATCTTCCTCAGCTTTCAACGAACGGGATTTATGGCTAGTGTTTTGCCGGTCGAGCTCATTGATCTTGTTAGACATCCGTTGTTGGGTACCGTTAGCAGCAGCCTCACTGGCTGCTAGCTGATCCATAAGCTTGGTCTTTTCGGCATCTGCAGAGTGAAGCTGATTGGTAAGATCGACCATCTTTAGCCGGAACGCTCGTAACTGCTTCTGAACTTCAAGGTCATGAGCAGCTTTCTCATCTTGGAGAATGCTGACAGTCGACTGTGCTTCAGATAGCTCATCTTGGAGTTGGCTCTTTGCTTGCATCTCTGTGCTCCGGTTCTTCTCTAAGACGGCGACAGACTCTTCGAGACGCTTGATGATGTCATTACTCATCTTGGTGTTCTGATTTCCCTCCAACTCTGCTTTGCCTAGATCTTGGGCGAGTCTATCAGAAAGGGTACTGTATTCAGATAGTTGCCCTCGGAGCCGGTTCTTATCTTCGTTGGACATGCGCAGGTCGTTCTCCGCCAACTTAAGCGCAGTCTCAATCTTGAAATTGGAAGCCGTGACATCATCAAGCTGTAGCTTCAAATGTGCTATGAGTTGTTCATCTGTGATTTTGGAGGCCTTGAAATCGTCGAGCTGTAGCGTCAAATATGCTGTCAGTTGCTCGTCGGTAAGCCTCTGCGCTTGGGCCTTTCTGTAGTTGCTAAACTTCTTGTGCAAGAAGATAGCCCCTGTAGCCACGAGGCCAGCTGTAGCAAGGCCGAGAGTACCACCGTTGCTAGCAATGCTAGCATTCTGCGCTTGTGTGTCGTTCAAAAGAGTTGTGGTAGTGTATGGTGCTCCCGAAATATGTGACGAAAGTACCGGAGTAGGTGTGATGAGATGTGACGTCGCTTGGTGTACGTGTGTACCGTCACTGCCAATATGATGGATGATAGTGGGGATGTCTGGCGTGGTCTGAAAATGTGTGTTTGCGCCATCGGTTTCCATGCTACTAAGAATATCTGAGAGTTCCAGCACGCTTGTACGGGCGGGGATCTTAGCGGTAGAAGATAGTTCTGGCTCCAAAATTCCAAAGATCTGGGTTGTCGGATGGACAGGGCTCATGTATTTATTAGGTGTGTACAAACCCCTCCCTAACTCAGGCGCGGCGAGGTGTGCTATGAAATGGTTGAGCCGCTTGATATCGATGTCGATTGGAATCCCTCTCTCGTAGACAGTAATGGCTGCTAGACCCGCTGCGGCTGTGGCAAGGAAAGGCTTGATGACTGGATGGTTCCAATTCTGCAATAGAATAGCCAGCTGTCTGCTGTTGAGTTCTGCCATGTTACTGTGTACAACTGCTGCAAGAACAGCGATTGCTTGGGTGGTACTAAGCGAAAGGTTGGTATGCGGGCCAGTGAAAATGAGTCTTAGGTGCAATGCGGCCTGAGTTCTAGCTCGATTGTCGTAACCAACCAAACTGTGGTGGATTTAGGAGAATAGTACGTAGGTCGGGCGGAGTGGAGATGGGCGTACAAGATTCTTCGTCCGCGGTCGCTTCACTGTGAGCGAGTGCAGTGACAGATTTGTCGCAGTGACCTATATAGCTCGAATTGATGGGCTGAGTCGTAGAGCGGCTGTATTTGATCGTGGGTCCAATTGCGTAACAAAGAGAAGAATAGGTGGGAGGGTTCTTCGGTAGCTGGAGCGGAGGGAGGTCTTGCTAGCGCTTTGCCAAGGACAGAGTGGGTAGAAGTGTCACATTCACTAAGGATTGGGAAAGCTCACGGTGACGTTGTCCGGTTCACCTCTCGGAGGATGCTTTGACGATATGTATTTCTCGGCGCTAGCTGTAGTATGTCGTCGTGGAGCTTCAGCCGTGGATAGAAAGTGTTGGTTTAGGGATCTTCTTTCTGTTCTACAGAAAGGTTGGTCTAAAGTTGCCACTGCCTTTGTAAGCTTTCACAATTCACCACAAACACTCTGATACCAAGAGGGAGCGGATCCGAGGAGCCATACAGACATCGCCTATTTCACCTTTCGTCTTTCATCGTCTAACCCCCAATACTCATAGTGTACATTGGCTAAACCCTAACACCAAAGGCAGCCAAGTGACTTGAAAGTGAAAACGAAGAGCAGAAACATATTTATGTATGCAAGATAGCACGTTGAGCAATCGGGAAGTAAATGGGTGTACGATACATCTCTGACGAAAACGTCTTGTGGCGACTAGACTGCGGGAGAACGCAACTACATCACGGGAGCTGACAGGACTTGATATTGAGCAAAGAGAGACACTGCGTGCATAAGGAAGAGTGCAGATATGTGCGATTAGAATGACACGAGAAGAATGAGCGATGATGCGAACAATGCAGACTGAACGGGTATTCTTCTGACCGAGTGAGTTGACGATACGAAAATGGCTGCGGCTCTTACTGCTGGGATGCCGTGGAAAGGGGCCAGCCGAGCTCGAATTGCTAAGCTCTTCTCGAGGAAGCCGACAGGAGCGGAGAACCGGAGTGAGAGCATACTGGCATCTTCGTCCAGTGTGACTGTTCTTCAATGAACATGTCTTGTTGACTGGTGGAAATCACGTGTAGGATGTTTTCCTGGAGCTCGTGGTATAAACTTTAATGTAGTCGTGTTGATCCACTGTTCGTATCGATGCTTCGGCTGCCGAAAGTCGAAGTGAATTCAGCAGGGGATAGTATCGGAACAGTGCTTGATGACAGCGACGCCCACAAGCCTCCTTATATGCTTCGAAAATAAAAGGTGTCGACGTGACAAAGTCTTTTGTCCTCCTCTTCCAGACTGGCAACATCTACCAGTCATCGTCACTATCCTCTCCTGCGATATCTCCTCCTTTGATCCTATCCACTACCCTCTTTACACCCTTCTCCACACTCTCGCCCTCAATTGCACAGCCTTCATGCCAAACGATGGCATCCATGACGCCGTCCATGAACCACATCAGCGTCGGCACGAAGCTCACGTCCAACATATTGCCTAGTTCTGGTAGCGAGTACATATCGAAGCAATAGATGTCGACGACGTCGTACTGCTCGTAGGATGTTGACGGAAGTAGTTTTTGAAGGGCGGTAGCAACCTCATTAGTTGTTTCGTCTTCGGGCCAATAAGCTAGTAGAACAGTTTTTCCTGCTGTGGCCTTGATGCAGGCTACATATTCGGCTATGTTGGTAATTTGGGAGAAGTGCGCCATGGTGATAGGGTCGTGGTGGTGGTTGGGTGATGGTGCAAGAAGTTTATGGATCTAGGGCTAAATTATTAGCTAAGCTTTGGCTAGTCGTCCTCAAGGGTCCACCCGATGCGCCCACCCACGCTCTGCCGAATGGCTAGCATGCTGCCTTCCCTCACATTCTCTCTCGCAACAAGACGGGTCTTAAAACGGTGCGCGGCTGAGTTCCGCTCCAATCGTCGCGTTCCGATTGCAGTGGTGATATGTGAGACTGTGCGACGCGTCGCCGATTTCGACGAAAACATCACGTCATACACAAGCTGCAGTAGCAGGGCTGTATGTGCACCAGCCTGTAGGTCAGTAGTTGATGACATGCCAGCAAGCCACGTCAGGTATCTAGCATTCAGCCTTGCATCTACATGCACCGGTCGCTGACAGACAAGCAGCTGTAGCATAACTTCTTCCTTAACCCTCCCGCTATCGAATACGTTACGCGCGATAACTACAGTCTCGACGACCTGCTAGAAACGCACCTCACCATATGATAATGCAGAAATACCGCGTCGAGCGCGCTGTCACCTACAATTTGAAAATCACCCAATCTGATCGGCATACATGGGGTTATGCTCAGGAGTGAGAGACAACACAACATTGATGGTGCAAATGATGGCATTCCGAGATGCCTAGAGATCAGAGGGTCTTATGGAACCTCACTAGATGGATATGAGAACACTGGTGGGGACTATTGAAGTGGACATGTAACAACTTCTGCATCGTTCTTCGCGAAAGTCCGTTGCTCTTCCCCACATCGTTTTCCCTACTCAGCTCCAACACCTCGCGTCCTAGTAACAGTGCTAGTTACAGTACTGGTTCTGACAACTGCACTACTGACTGTCCTTGTAACCGTAGTACTAGCAGGTCCCTTGGTAATAAAGCACGAGCAAGCCGACGAGATCTCGCCAGGACCGAGACCAAGCGAGATGTGGATGCCACCGGGGAGACCGAGTGAGATATCGAGTTGGCGCTTGCGCACTGGAAGTTCAGCGGGGCAGGCGGCGTCATAGAAGGTGTAGGGAGACATGGGGTTGTAGTTGGTATTTTCCGCCCTATTGACACAGTCAGTATGCGGCAGCACTCTATCAAAGGGACCAAACTTACGCAGTGACGTCGAAGAGCATGCAGTTTGCTTCTCCGTAGCCGAAGCTCTTACACTTACTATCAGCCTTGCAAAGCGCGCTGCAAGCATCGAAAGTATTCTTTGTGCCGCTAGACTCGAAGTAGTACGCTGGCGTGGTTTTGACGTACGCGACAATACCGCAGCTTGGAGCGGCTGTGGGTGTCCTGCAAACAGATCAGCTTTCTGCAGAATGCGAAAGGTCACAGCTGGACGACTTACGGAGATGGGCTCGAAACGAGGGTCGAAGACACTACTGTGGAAGAAGGCTGTACAGGTGTAGCCGACGATGATGGCTTGAGCGATGAAGACGACGATGGTGGCGAAGGAGGAGATGAAGATGTTGACTTCGATGTTGGGGTCGGTGTGGGCGTTGGCTGAGGAGTGGGTGTAGGGGTAGGTGTGGGAGTAGTTGTCGGCCGGATGGTAACTGTAGTCTTCTTGGTCGTGGTAGTTGTCGTGGTGTAGCCATTGGTGACGGTGGCTGTTGCAGTCCCTGAACGAAGGATGTTGGAACAGAACAATGCCGCCTCAGACGTATGCCCTTCAAATCCATCGAGACCGCAATCCTCAACTAATCATGCGTTAGTCTACCCTTTTCCCTAAGGGAGCAGTTCATACCATCCGGATACCCCCATTGCCTTCTTTGACGACCAGACGCTTCCACGCTCGCAGCAAGAACTGCAGCAAATGCGACGGAAAACCTCATACTGGCTTTTTCAGACGCCCTGATTAATGCGGAACTTTTCGGTAGGTTGGATTGGTATCAAAGTTGACGCTGAGCACGACTGTCAACTGGTAGAGTCTCTACTTATAAGCAATATGTAAAAGCTTCGACAGCAGAATTCTTACACTAAGTAAAGCGGCTGAGCCGTATGTTGCATCTCGCATTTCATTTGTGATAGATGAAATGCAGGCTTCTTGCAGCCTCGGTGATCTGGCTGGGGCAAGATGGCCTAGAACGCGTACATTGCTGCTACCATAGTAAATGAACACGAGAATATGACCGCCTCCCGCCGGCAGATGTTGTTCGACACATGTCTACCGAGCAGAGGTTTACGCTGGTTTCTGCAGCCAGGCATGTGGCTTTCCCGGTGCTATGGTCGAAGATTGAGTTGTCCAATCAAAAACGCTCTTGAAATTGAGACCGAAATATCGAAAAGTATGGGGAATTAGGCTTAAAGTAACAGGCGGACAGGGCTGCCGTAGTTGGGTCCATTATCCCTACACATCCCGGCAAAATACATCTGCGTCTGGCCATAGCATGGAAATCGCTACGCAAAAATAGCGACGATGCCACCTAACACAGGAACTGTCACTAGATCTCTTCGCTAGCGTACGTACCAGATCTAACTTCCTCGACTCAGGCGATCTGTACAGCTTCGCACCACTAAGTGTGGGCCAGATGCTTTAATCCATCCGCGCCCTATACCCAACCAGGACCGGACCGGCGCGGACGCGACAACTTCGCATTACGAAAGAAGAGTAGAAGAACTTGGTTTGAAGGTTTTCATACACGCCCAACAAGGTAATGCTATAGTAACTATTCTAAGCGAATGACAAACCACAGCCGCTTCGTGTTGTCCAAATGAAATTTCAAATGGTCTCTGCTTAGCGGCTTGAGCTTGGCCTCGACGTTGAACTTGATGCCGAGATTATCTCCTATTTCTTTCCACATTCTTTTGAAGCTTTCCACGTTATGCCGGTACATTGTGCCTGTAGGGCCATCCTTCTCGAGAGGCTCAGTGGCTCCAACTTGGCGACCGAGTATCATCGAACCCGGCTGCGGACGTAACAACGCTACAACGGCTTTGGATACTTCGACTTGTTTCTCGTATCCCCATAGGTGGAAGAAAGATCCAGCATAGATCATATCGATTTGGCCTTTGACATCCGTAAGTGCCGACTTGGAATCGAAGATGTCCGCTACTAAGAACTTGGTCTTAAGCTTCGCTCGATCGCGGAATAGGCTATAGCCTAGTTCGATGAAATCCGGCTGCAAATCGCAGCCGTAAATGTTCTCAGTTGGAGCGCCGGCGTTCGCAAGCTGCCGAATAGTTTGACCGAAGCAGCAAGCCATGTCTAAAAGCTTCTGACCTTTGCGTATACGTTCGACAATCTCATCATACTCGTCGGGCAGCTCGGAAAAGCTCGGCTCGAGGAATCGAAACTGTCCTATGCAAGGATATGGGTGAACCTTCCAAGCTTCATCACGGAGTTTGATAACATGGTGTAATACGTCATCGGATGGGATTCCACTCCACGTTTCCAGAAGCCGCCGGGTCTCGGAAGGGATGTGATCGTGCGAAGGGTTCTCTTCGAACCACGAAGGAGCTGCCATCTGAGCGCTATTGGTTTCAGACATTATCATAGAACACAAATGGTTTATGAAACTGGATGGACGGGTGTGTTGGTGTGTTGTATCTTAGTGCTAGCGGCAGGGTTCCGCGCTAGTGCTTATTTCCGAGCCCACGCACCGTACCTTCATCCCTTGACTTTGTCTCAACTCAACAAACCACAATCTCGCCCATCACACGCACGACATCATGTATCGCTCTCGCAAAAGCTGAACAGACCAGGAATTTTGCACAGCTTCGTGTGACAAAACATCCAGATTGAAACTGTTCTCAAACCTGCGAGACTCTATACTTCACAACGTCCATGCAAGTCCCAAAGCATATCGATCCAGCCATTGTATCTACTCATCGAACTGTATTGAAATGTATATCGCCCACTAAAGACGTTCAGGAGCCTGGACGCTACTGCAACCTCACCAGTTGCACTATGTCTTGTCCACGGTGTTTGATCTCGTCGCCAGAACAAATTATTGGCTTCCCCTGGATCATCAGTCAAGACATAAGTGGAACTGTGCTTCGCATAACCCAGTAGGATTCCGTCATTTGTATCACGAAGCGGTCAGCAAGCTGACTGGATCTACTCTTAGCGGATCAATACTGCAACCGAAATGACATGTCTCTTGTTGTTAAAAACGTCATTGTTAGCGAGTATGACGAAGGCCCGCACGTATGATTTTCAGGGTACATCCGGGATGTACGTACCCACCTGTTCCGTTGCTACGTCGTCGACAGTCATATTCGTGACAGCAATATTTCCATAGCGATCGCGTCTTCTCTTTAATGCTCCCAGGACTCACGAACCCACCGTTTTTAGACGATCTATGACGACCATGTACATCCAAGACAAACAGAAAAAAGATACATGGGTAGTATGGGAGGGAAGGCTGACACGAACGCAACCTTCCCTTCCGGCGTACTCTTACACAAGCTGGCCAGCTCGGCACTCACTGTACCTTTTTTGCGTTTCTAAAACGAAAAGTAGGTAGAAGGGATCATATATAATGATGCGCGGGGGCAGGTGAGATACATCGGCTATCTGTTACGCCTAGCCCATCAGCCATATCATCTACAAAATGCCGGAAAAGCTTCCTAGCATCCTTGGACACTCCCCTTCTCAGAGCACCGAGGATACCGAATCGAGGAAGCTGCAAGAACATGACGGAGGTCGTGCAGCATGGCTTACGGTTGCGGGCTCCATCTTAGTTTACTACGCTTCCTTCGGAGTTATGAACAGCTTTGGCTTCTTCCAGAACTACTATAGTAGTGACTTCTTGAAACAGACGCCGCCATCGACTATAGCGTTTATCGGGACGCTCCAAATGGCACTCATGAATTTGCTGGCTGCTCTTTCTGGGGCTCTTTGTGATCGGTATGGTGTTAAGGTAAGTATACTTCACAAGTTTTACTTGCCTAAGACTCATAATGCATAGTACCTCTATCTTGGCTCAGGCACTGGTACTGCACTGGCTCTTGTCATGCTGTCGTCCATACAT